TTTAATTTTAAGAGTTATGACGTCAACTAAAAGTATGAAATAAAAAAGTTTGCATTTATTTAATTTTAATTTATTTGTTTTACATTCCAGGTAACTCACAGGTTTTTTTATTGAAAGCGTCACTTGGCTATAATTCCATTCGTTTGTGATCATCTGAGGGCAACTGACATTAAAAAATGCTTAATGCCAATGATCGTTGCATTTTCAACTCAAACTAACAAAATTTTAATTAACAAATCTTCAAAAATCCATCGCTTTTTAAATATACTACAAGAAACGCTGTAACACTTTTCAAACCTACTGTTATACAGAATGATCAAAAAATTACACACAAACTCAGGAGCACGTTATTAATTTCACAAGTCCAAGTTCGAAAACATTCATTATGATTTTTTTATTTTTGTTATACGTCAATTTGACGTTCACTTACAAAAACAAAATATCGATATAGATGGATTGAAAATTAGTCACTGTTGTCAGATTCATTTTGAACAATTTTTAAGTTTTTTTGTGTATTATAAAATGAATAAAAATAAAACTTCTAAAAGTATTTTGAATAATGAAAGTCCGATGTACCCAACACTAAGTAGTGAATAAAAAAAGTATAGTGAAATATCGAAAACTTTGAAGGCCTGTGTCTCCTAGATTTGGGCCCAGGGATATTTAAAATATTGTTTTTTGCTGACGAAACGTAAAATTTACATTTTCCTCTACGGCAGTGTTTTCATGAATACAAAATCTATTATCTATTAAATAAGTTCTGGCTCGCCCGGTAAGTACAGATTTTTTATAAATTACAAAAAAAAAAGTGTAAAAGGAAAAGGATTTATGATTACAAAAATACTTATTTTTAACCGAAATTCCGTCGCCTCCAAAGTATAATCAATGCTGTATGCACGAAGGCCCTTTTTTTTGGGTTGAAGTTATCAATTTTTTAATAAAGATAAATACACAAATTTCGATGTATATATGTAATTTAGAAATGGGTTATTATTATTAAACTATGTATATGTAATGGAGCAAATATTTTTAGATTGACGCGTGAGGAATTTTTTCGAAGGGATGAAAAATCAAATTTCCGCTTAAGGATCTCCACCATACCCACAAAAATCGTTAAAATTTCCGAGTAAAAAGAACATCCATTTTGAACGGAACGAATGGGACAGAATCGAAAATGAACGGTTTGAACAATATTTTAGGCATTGTGTTTTATGGAGATCCTCACCGATGAGGTTCACTCTTATTTGCTCCGCTTCATCGATAGTCTCATGAAATGTCTATTTATAAGAAAATTAACAATACATTAAAGGACAGTGAATTCTAGACAAACATTCAGAAATGGGAAATTTGCAATTTTTAATTCTATGAACTGGAAACACAACCACATGATAAATGAATGAAGATCAAAATAATTAAGATATTTTAATTAACTATTTATACTAAGTGACATAAAAAGTACAAGAAGGGGTTGAAATATTTTGCTTAAATTCGGTATTATAATTAGCCGGAAATAAAAAAACCATATCCAGAGATATTATATTTGTTTAAAAACATAAATAAATACAGGGTGATTCAAAAAAAGGCGCACTAACTCAGTTTGAAAAAAATATATTAAAAAATACTTTAAGGCTAATTTCACTTTTGACAAAAACAAAATATCGATTTACCTAGAGAGATTAAAAAAGGTTAACAATTAGCCCCACTGTTGCTAGCCAATGCCATGACAACAATGGCAAGATAATTTTTTGGTAATATTATCTACTGAAGAAAATCTTAGATAAAGATATCATACTTTAAAAATTATTTTGAATAATAAAGGTCCGATCAATATCATTTACCCAACACTAATTAGTGAGTTAAAATATGGTCAAATATCTAAAAGGAACATTAAAATTTGAAGGCTTGTGTCTACATTTGGTGCTAAGGTTTTTTTTTAGTCCAATAAATAGTCCTTAACAACGTATCATAAAGTAAGTGCACCATCTCTTAATCATCCTGTAATCATAATATTTTAAAATAAATCTTTTTTTTTCCTTTAATGTTTCAATTGATTCATCATAAAAGTGTGCTAATATTTTGTTAACTGAGCTATTTTCTTAGCTTTTAAAACGCAAGAGTTAAACGAAAACACACATCTGTATTTATTAACCTACAAATTAAAGCTTATGCAAAATTATTACAATCACAGATATGAATAAATATTACACATACTGTTTCATTTAGTAGGATTCATGAAAATTATTTCAAAAGTACAATCTATATACTACAATTGTGAGTCAATAAACATATAACATATTTTATGTTTGAAATTTCGCTGCGACGTTGTTAAGCATTTTTTATACCTAAACTTGATACATTCTGAGATTTTCCAAACTTTTAGTAAACACACCAAAGTAACAGAACACTTTGTATGGTTAAAAATATTTTTATTTTGTACTACTCAAAGAGCCATACAACATTTATTTGCTCACCTTTATACATAATTGGATAAGTTTTACATACTTGGTCTAGATTTAGAAATAATGAAAATATAATTAAAAAAAAAAAATTCTAGGAATATTTAAATTCTAATTTGTCAAAACAGTTGCCTTTGTGCATTACTAAAATTTCAATGATAGAGTTTCTTATGTACAGTTTATTAGTTGTCGAATCGATATACAATAGTTTAAAAAGAATTCTATGTTAAAAGAAATAATACCTACAATTTGTGGCTTTATGCAAAATAATCAACCAAAATTTGGATTTATTCGATTACCATATTTCGAAGTCGCAACAAAAGAGAGCTATCTTCTAAATTGACTGTTTGAACATTGTAACCAAAAATGATCTCCACAAAATAAAATTAAAAATTCAATTTACTTTTTAGGTTTTATAACGGTCCGAATTCCAGGACACCTGTACCTGAGACTTCAACCAACACAAGAAAATTCTTTTAAACTTCGCGACAAAGTTGCAGCACTATTATGACTTGCGCTGAAATTTCCATTACCAGTTATTCATTAGGGCGTTCTTGCATCAACTTCGCCTGACATTATCGGAACAATTGATATCGCGCATACATACCAGTCCTTCACGTTCTACCGTAGCGAGAATATCAATCTGTCTAATCAATTTCTCTCCGCAAATGGTGTTCGATGAAAATTAGAAAATCTCCCGGTGGCAGGCCATTACGGGCAACGGGTGGTGGTCGGGAGCGGTTCGTATTGAAATATTATCACCCATTACGGCTATCTTAACTAGCACCTATTCATTTACTTTATTTAACGCGGGGATGTTTTAATATTCTTTTAAAGATGGCTTTTTCGTGTTGCTGGATTCCTTCAAGCTCGTTATTAATTGGGCAATAACGCGTCTCACTACGAATCGCCGTGTTTCATTGCGGTACGCCGGCTCGGCCACATTTGCGCCTGTCTTGCTCACTTTCGGTTTGTCTAGCGAAGGTACTAAGTTCATTTATCAACACCAATCGCCGCGAATTAAAACAACGATTTGGAAAATGTGCGACTACAATTTTTTTTAAACGTTTTCAGGCTATTTATTCACTGAAGACAAGAACAGAATGAGATAAAATAATAATAACAATAACAATGTTTATTTTTCCAACAGGTGCACGCCCCAGTGACAGAAAAACTAAAATAATTAATTCAAAGTGACCAAAAATAAATACATACATACTTCTATGGGTCAATGCCCAATATTAGAGAAAGAAATAATAATAATAATGCTAAATGAGTATATTTATTTAGACATATAATATTTGTCAAGTGTCTACAGCATCTATAAATAATTCCCAAACTTCTAAATGCAGCACCCGTAATAGAATTTATATGACTCGTAAAACTTAGATCCCTGCCAAAAATAATACCCAGATCATTGACCGATGTTCTACACTTATTGATCCTATAGTGATAATTAATTGTATTAGCTGACTTCGAGAATGACACGTTTATCATATTTAGCGTTAACTGAATCTCAATGCAGCAGTTTCAAATTATATTAATCACTTCCGACAGAGTTTTTAGTTGAAAATAGAATAGTACATGTAACATGTAAGTATGTCATTATATTCGTAATTTAATGCTGTACAAAAATATTTTGCACTAAATTAAGATTCCTTCTTCAAGCTAAAAACGACAGCGTTTTCAGAATTTCAACATTTCTATCCGTTCGCAAGATATAAGTTCGTGAAGTTTTATCTGGGGCACCTATGTGGGCATAGGCGCAACGAAAGAAAGTAATTGAATTCTCCAACACAGTTTTCTTCTGAGTAAATTCTAAGAAGATCAAATTTGTTTATTTTTTGACAATGGACAATAATGTGTGGGTAATGTGTCCAGTATTTGATTATATAAAATTGTAAGAGAGTAGATTAAATGATTATGAAAAGTAGGTACAATACTCTCAAGCCGTTTTTTTATTATTATTAATAATGTTTATCGCATCCATGTTTTTTGATAAGACACAGAGAACAATCATCTATTTATAAAGAAATATTACAGCTGTTCCAGTCGAGCCGAGATTTTAATTAGACGATAAACAGCAAATCGTTTTCTAACCTGGCGTTTAAATCTCCACCCACACTAAACATCGCCTAATCATGTACCTACTGAATGATGGATATTCTACAACGCTGACCCGTCATATAGTTTATTAGAAGATTCACACTTTATTTTTAATAGGTTTCAGCACAAGTAAGAGAGTCGTTAAACTAATTAAGCGAATTGGATGTTTTTTGCAGTTGCAAATTTGGCCGTGCATATTATCACATTTTGGACGAGTTTTTGGAAAGGTTCGTGGGTGGCGTTGCCGAAAACGGCCGCGATAAGAGCCGCGATCCGGGCGACTTGAACGGGCAATCAGACGGAAAACTCGGCGCTGCCTGAAAAACGCATTGCCGGAGTTCACAGTTTTTTCAGTATACCTCCGAGTCGGTCTATTCTTGACTCGGCATTAGCAAAGAGCGGGGAGAAGCAGCACCGGCGGAGAGGCGAGGAAAGAGTGGCCTTGTGCGAGGGCCCGCAGTCAAGCACCGAGCCCCGGTCGAGGCGGACACGGCATGCGAGAAGCCATCCGAACGTACGATGGTGTAGTTCCTGGCACTTCGAGCGATGGGCACCACGGTGGTGTGTGCGGTGTTATTCGGCGCCGTCTTCGGCGTCCTGTCGGCGTCGCTGAGCAAGGCGCTGCGGTACCAAGCGCCCGACGAGTGCAAGTGGGTGGTTGTGGACAGCGGCACCGAGGACGACGTCGCGCTCGTCTGCCGCCTGCAGACGATCAACAGCGAGCTGGAGAACACCAACTTCAGCGTGATCCAGCCCCAGCACACGGTGCGGCTGCGGCTGGAGTGCAGTGACGCCCTCTTCTTCCAAAGTTCCTTGAGCGCCGGCAGCTTCAAGCCCCTGGTCGAGCTGCGCGAACTCTCGATCGAGTACTGCAAGATCGGTAACCTCTCCGACGGCGCCTTCCGCGGCCTGAAGGAGCTGAGGAACCTCACGGTGCGGACCCACAACACGGATTGGTCAGCCATGACCCTGGAAGTGTCGCCGAACGCGTTCACGGACGAGTTGCGTTTACTCGAGCGGCTGGATCTCGGTGAAAATAACATGTGGAGTTTGCCCGACGGTGTGCTGTGTCCTCTGTACGCGCTGGAAGTGCTTAATTTGACCCGGAATCGGTTGCGCGAAGTGGCCAGTTTTCGGTTCACTCACAATCCGTCGGAAAGCTGCGGGGCCAACTTGAGGCTCCTCGATCTGTCACGTAACAACATCGACAGGCTACCATCGAGTCAATTTTCTGCACTGTCACGCCTTCAAAAGCTCTATCTTCAAGGAAACGGCCTCACACATTTGGCAGATCGTGCTCTCGAGGGACTCGTGGCACTCAACGTACTCAAGCTCTCCGACAACCGTTTAGTCAGTTTGCCGCCTGAGCTGTTCTCCGACACGAAAGATATCAGAGAGATGTATTTGCAAAACAATTCCATAAACGTCTTAGCTCCGGATCTTTTTAGTGAACTGACGCAACTGCTAGTACTCGACTTGTCGCACAATGAATTGACGGCCGATTGGATTAACGCAGCGACGTTCGCCAGATTGGTTCGCCTCGTTGTTCTCGATATTTCACACAACAGAATAACCAAACTAGAACAGTCCGTCTTTAGAAACCTAATTAGTCTCCAGATTTTAAGACTGAACGACAACTTCATCGAAGCGATACCCGAAAACACCTTTTCTGCGCTTTATAATCTACACACGTTAATTATCTCCAACAACAAACTAACAAAAATCGACAGCGATACATTTAACGGACTTCACGTGCTCTCACTATTGTCGCTAGACAATAACAAAATATCTTGGATACATCACGAGGCATTGAAAAACTGTTCCAGTTTACAGGACCTTCATCTTAACGGTAATAAATTGATACAAGTACCGGAAGTACTACACAACGTACCAATGCTGAAAACATTAGATCTCGGAGAAAATCACATTGACGTGATCACAAACGAAACATTTCGCGAAATGAATCAGATGTACGGCTTGAGACTGACGGAAAACAACATCGGTAACATTACGAAAGGGGTTTTCGACAAAATGTCGTCGCTCAAGATACTGAACCTTTCTCGCAATAAAATACAGAAAGTAGCGGCAGGTGCGTTCGATGCCAACGCCAACTTGCAAGCGATTCGACTAGACGGCAATTACTTAACGGACATCCAGGAATTATTTGCCAAATTACCGAGTTTAGTGTGGCTGAACATATCAGACAATCAGCTGAAATGGTTCGACTATGCCCTAATACCGACCGGTTTGCAATGGCTCGACATTCATTCCAATCAGATAGAGGAATTGGGCAATTACTTTGAAATCGAATCAACCCTATCTCTGAGCACGTTCGACGCTAGCGCGAACAAACTAACCGAAATAACCGGAAGTGCTATTCCTAACAGCGTGGAAGTGTTGTTTCTGAACGACAACCTAATTTCGAAGGTCCAGTCGTACACGTTTTTCAAAAAACCGAATCTGACGCGCGTGGATTTATTCGGAAATAAAATCACAAGCTTAGATCCGAATTCGTTACGAATTTCGGCGGTTCCGCCTGATAAGCCGCTGCCGGAATTTTACATTGGCGGTAATCCGTATCAGTGTGATTGCACGATGGAGTGGCTCCAGAAAGTGAATATCGGTAATCGAGCTCGGACTCAGCCTAAATTGGTCGACTTGGAAAGCATTTATTGCCAGTTGTTGTACAATCGAGGTAGAACGTACGTTCCCCTCGTGGAAGCGGCACCTTATCAGTTCCTTTGTACTTATGAATCACATTGTTTTGCATTGTGCCACTGCTGTGATTTCGACGCCTGTGACTGTGAAATGACGTGTCCGACCAACTGCACCTGCTATCATGATCAATCTTGGTCGGCCAACGTCGTCGATTGTTCCTCCGGAGGGTACATCACCAAACTCCCCGAACAAATACCGATGGATGCAACTCAACTGTACTTGGACGGAAACGATTTGCGCTCGTTAAATAGTCACGCATTCATCGGTCGCAAAAGACTTAAAATTTTGTTTTTGAATAATTCCAACATAGAACTGATCCAGAATCGTACTTTTAACGGTCTCAAGGACTTGGAAATTGTGCATCTCGACGAGAACAGAATTGGCGAACTGCACGGGTTCGAGTTCGAAGGGCTCGACAGTTTACGAGAAATTTTCTTGCAGCACAACAGGATAACGCATATAAGCAACACCACCTTTCTAGGATTGCGGCAGCTGCGAATCGTCAAGTTGGACCACAACAGGTTGCACTTGTACGACGTGTGGCAACTACCTACGACCATGATCGAAGTGACTTTGGCGTATAATCCTTGGTCCTGTGAGTGCGAATTTAGCGAAAAATTGCGGGAATGGATGGTGCGTGGCGACGTGGTTTCGGATAGCGCGAACGTGCGTTGTGTGTTCAATACGACCGAAATCGACTACTACAGTGAGGACATGTACGCGGACAATCCAGACGTCGGATTTTATGTGAGTCAAGAGAACGGTACTTTGTGTACGGGCGCCGTGAACATCGACAACAGCATCAACGGCAATCTAACGGCCACGAAAACCATCATCCAGAGACAAATAATCCAAGACTACTTGCCGCTGTTAGTGATAACTTTGGCCGTCTTCGCCGTGATCATAATCGTGACCCTGCTCTTGTTCATTTTCCGGCAGGAGGTGCGCGTCTGGCTCCATTCGAAATTCGGGGTGCGGCTCTTCCACAGGTCGTCGGACCTGGACCGCGACGACAGGGACAAATTATTCGACGCTTTCGTGAGTTACAGTTCGAAGGACGAGGCGTGGGTCGCGGAGGTGCTGGCCCCGGCGCTGGAGCCCAACTACAAGCTGTGTCTGCACTACCGCGACTTCCCCGTGGGCGCCTTCCTCGCCGACACCATCGTCCAGGCCGTGGAGTCGTCCAAGCGCACAATCATGATCCTGTCGGAGAACTTCATCAAGTCCGAGTGGTGCCGTTTCGAGTTCAAGTCTGCCCACCATCAAGTTCTGCGCGACCGCCGCCGACGGCTCATCGTGGTGCTGCTCGGCGAGGTGCCGCAGAAGGACCTGGACCCCGACATCCGGCTGTACCTCAAGACCAACGTGTATCTGCAATGGGGCGACAAGCTGTTCTGGGAGAAGCTCAAGTTCGCCCTGCCCGACGTACCGAACAACCAGCGGCATCGGGGCTCCGTGAGGGGCCCGCACGTGCATCACCACGTGCACCGGCATAGCGCACGGGCCCAGGCGCCCAATCCTCCGAGCGGCGGTGTCGGAGGCGGCGGTGGTGGTGTCGGCGGCGGCGGCGGCGGCGGCGGAGGAGGAGGTGGTGGCGGCGCGACGCGGACTGTAGCCATCCACATTTGACAGTGATACTGTTTTATGTCAACCAATTATTGTGATACTACGTAATACAGACTGTGAGTGCAATGTGAGTGCCGGATGTGATAGTCAATTTCCGGGGGTGTGAGTGCGCGCGTGTGACGGCCGGACTGACTTGAGCAAGAAGCCGAGAGAGAATTGGCGAGTGCTTGAATGTGTGGACCCCGGACCACTCCGATCCTGCGACGGAGTCTAACACTTGTTGCTGTATATAAGGACTTGTATAGCTAAGTATGTTCAAAACTGTATGTAAAGCTGTATATATTTATATATTTTTATACCCGGTATTTATTGTTGTAAGTTGTTTTTTCAACACTTTCTGCGTTACTTGCCAATTTTACTTCTTTTTTGTGTAATTATTTAAATCTACATTCCATTAAAGAACATGCCGTAATTTGTAAGTAAATTTTATTTATAAAATAACTTAGTAATGCCTTTTCTACTGTCAATGTAAAATAATAAAATCTGAACAGCGACTTTTTAATCAAGTGTTTTATTTCTTTATGATCTGCTCAACATCCCGCTGGGGAAGATAAGTTCTTTGAAATATTCTTTTTGTTCTCAGGAAAATCACTAAACAACGAGAATTATTATCGAATTAAAACCAGTGTTGCCAAATCTACAATCAGCTGAGTCATTAAAACTTTGGGTGCTTTTTAGTGTTAAAAGTATGGTCTGTTCTGGTAAAAAATTCTAACTGAAAATTATTAATTTTGGGAAAATGAAATCGAAAGTTGTCAAAATTTTAGTTGCCTAGTGTATTTTACAAAATAAGAAATTACAAAATTAAGTCGTCATATGTTTCCTTGCTTACTCATGCATATTATTGCTTAATGTACGCAGTTTGTCATTTATTCATGTTCGCGTTAATTATTATGTTTCGGTTCTTGTAAAGTGTAAATATTTTTAACAAAATATAGGAATCGCTTCTAAAATAATGTGAAAGTTCTACACAAATGCCACTTTTTACTAGTGACGGGAGACCTTTTTTTTTAAATAATGATTTGTGCCGTACTTTTCTGAAAATTAATTTATTTATTAGTCCTCTACTGAAAATTGTTTCTTCAAATGATAGTGTATTTTTTCAGTTTGTAACATCCGGCCACTTTGTAGAATTGTTTTCATGTCTTTCATTAAAAAAAAGGGACATACTTTAGGTGGAAAAATTTTTCACATGTTTACAATGTACATATTACATAAATTCAGACATTTTCGCTTCTAGAATTCTACAAAATTATTTTAATGTTAAAAAACAATTATAGAAAAGAGTGTCTTACAATAACTTCTTGACTCAGTTATGTGTCAAAAAAACGTCACTCTTCTCCGAAATATTTTCTGGACTATTGACACAAATAATTATCCTGCATGTATGCATCAGTGTCTAATGTGTCGAGCAACTCCTTCCACTATTTTTACTATAATATATCTCGCAAGCAGCAAATTTCTAGATTATCGATAAAATCAAAAATCAACTGTCTCAATAATCGAACAGAAGTGGGTGTATATTTGCTTTATACATATTTTGTAAGAGTTTTTTTTCATTTTAACTACGACCACTTCTTATTTAATTAAGTATTTACTTCTGAGAATACGTATAAGAAACGATCAAAAACGGTCTAATTAAGTTCTTGACATAAGTTTATAAATGAGCGTTTCTAAATCTGAGTACCAGTAACAGTAGGTATAATGCTTTCAAATAACGGCAAATAATCGTTAAAAAAATGATGTAATAACAAAATAACAAACGACTCACTCTAGCTAATAGATTAAAACCGAATACAGTACCTCTACCGTAGAAGCAGCATGGATGAGTTATGAAAACCTGGACAATATTCAGGTAGGGTTTATGACAGTTATTAAATTAATGTGACAAACACGTTTATGGTTAAATTTGTAAATAACTGTTGCACAACTTCCGATTTTATTACAATGACGCTGACATTCTTCCTCGTAACTTATAGTAAATTTACGATGCGAAATGTAAAATAAAAACGTAAGTAGACGCGCCCACCAAAATAAAATATAAATAAAAAAGACGTCCCCCTTGCTGTCAAAAGTAATAATCATGAATAAAGTAACAATAAAATAAAACAAAATAACTGTTTTCGTTCCTGCTTTCCATGCATGACGTTAACAACATGTCTTCGTCCAAGTTCCACAAGAAAACATCCGTTCACACTTTATGGTGTTATAAACGAACCATGGTTTACGTTTATGGGATACGGGGATTTCTCCACAGTCAGGGAGAAACAACCGAAAGTTGTTTTTTCTGTTAATAAATATGGTAATAACAGGCAGCCAATAAAAATTCTAATCGTTAACAATAATTCATAATTTAATGAAGCATCCTCGCCTATAAATTAAATAAAATTTAGAAATATTCCACCGAGACATTACATTACGTGGACGCCACAATAAAATTAATGATGCAGACAACCCACTAACAAATTATTCAAACAATTCTGATACAACTAGTTAATCAGTAATTTCGAAAAGTCATTTCAAAAGATTAAGTAGGCAACATAACTATGCATAACCGTACTAACAGGATAATAGCTGCTTAAAATTGTTGTGTAGTGCGGTTTTTATATTTTGTTTATTTTTGGGTACAAAATTTTATAAACAAATTTTTAATTTCACCTTAACGGTAGTTAAGTAGTATTCATTAATTATGTGTTTAAAAGACCATTAGCGCTACATGGATCAAATTTGTTTTTAAAAATGCCGACATTGTTTTCAATGCTTTGATGTAAAAATGCAGAGAAGATTAATTGGCTACAGTTGCTTATAACATAGTGACTTTTGCACTTAACTGAAGATAAAATCTTGCGACTAGTGGCAAAATAATTTATTTAATGCATTGCTAAATTGTTAAATTTTTTTATGACACTCACTAACGTGCAAAAATTAATATTAGCACGAGACGACTAAACAACAATAATTAGTAAGTAAATTTTGAGGTGTAGGTCATGTTACCGTTTTTACTTTACGAAAAAGAGTTAAAATAAAGACTCAAACGAGCTTGTTTCATACGTTTGAATCTGAATTACGAAAATTTGTAAGGCTTTAAAACAACAAAAACAAAAAATAGAGATCCTTAATCGTCAAAATATTACATACATTTTTTCCAAGTATACGAAGTTCGGATTTTTTTACAACATTGTAGTGCTAATTTAATTTAATATTCCCTTTGTGACAGTGTAATATAATTAAATACAGAATAAAATTGCAATTCTTATTTATCAAAATTAACAGTTATTATGTACATTAGGGTGATTCAAAAAAAAAAAATAATTTTTTTTTTCGTGCAAAGAGGTTCAAAAGTTTCTTTTCAACGTAAAAAAATACCAGTTAAAATTTGAGCTCTTAATATTAATATTAAGACCGTCCGCATCGCGTTTTTCTATTTCCCATAAGAATAACATGGGAATAGTAATTTACACAACTAGTTCGGGATAGCCTGCTTCCCGCATGAACGCTTGTTTGCGGCACGACCGAAGGGAGTGCCGCATTTGCGTGAATGCGGGAAGCAGGCTCACGAACGTGTTGTGTACAATATTTTTTGCAACGAATAAACCTTTAAACTGAAGAAATTAACTGTGAGTTATTTATAAACAATGGCGCCGTCAACACATCACAATGTTGACACTACGCGAGTATTTTAAGGTTACCATGGCAACGGGAAGTTAAAATGCACGTGTGCGGGAAGTTCGAACTCCCGCACCCTGGTGAATGCACGAAAGCCATCAAAAAAGATCATGAGTGCAAAAAATTTTTGTTTGCACCTTCTGATTTTTATTGCTAGCCCGTCGTGTGTCGTGAAAAAAATTCAATCACATATTTTTATAGAGAATTGAACGCTCTACAAAAAGTGTCTCCTATGATTGTGCGAGAAACCTGATAGTTGAAGAGTTATTTTAGGCTAAAGTTAAATTTATCCAAATTTTGACGTTTTTGATGCATTACAATAAATTTGATGGTCTTATTGGAATAAATCACCACAAAAATTTATACACATTTTAAATTTAGTTTTTTAAACAGTAATTGTTTATAATTTTATGCTATAATAAGGCCAGTAAAACTCTTTCCGAACATTTTCAGCATCAGTGGGTTAAAAAATCATAGTCAGGTTTCTCGCAAAATCATAGGAGACTCTTTTTGTAGAGCGTTCAATTCTCTATAAAAATATGTGATTGAATTTTTTTCACGACACACGACGGGCTAGCAATAAAAATCAGAAGGTGCAAACAAAAATTTCCCCATGTTATTCTTATGGGAAATAGAAAAACGCGATGCGGACCGTCTTAATATTAATATTAAGAGCTCAACTTTTAACTGGTATTTTTTTACGTTGAAAAGAAACTTTTGAACCTCTTTGGCACGAAAAAAAAAAATTTTTTTTTTTTTTTTGAATCACCCTAATGTACATATATATTTTTGAGCTTAATATTTTCTCAAAATTAACTGAACTGAATTCAGAATTTAAAAAATACCTGTAATCCTGACAAGAAAACTTCTTTCAATTCAATTCATTTTGGAGGCTTAAATATGTTTTACAATAATTTTTGAAGTACGGGATCATTCGAAAATTTTGAAACAGAAGTTACTCGAGTTTAAAGAATCTAAATTGTTTATAGTATTGTGTTTTTAAACAAACAATAGTCAAAATTAATGGAGACTCTACCTTCTGATAAAAAATGACGGATAAGCTAGCTCAACGCTACGTTGTTAAGAAGGCTCTGAAGAACTCGAAAAAATTGGTTAAAAAGATCCCTGCAGCAAATTTTTCAAAATATTAAACTTGAAAGTTGAAAAATTAACTTCATAATTCTGATTTGTTTTAATGAACTAAATGTCTAATAGACTGTTACATAATTACTTATTAAAAATTTAATAATAATTTGCTAGAATGCGATCCATAACGTGATTTTTTATTGTTGACAGATGTCATTTTTGACAATTTTTTCGGAATTAAATTCACATTAAGACATATGAGAATTATAAAGTTAATTCTTCAATTTCGAAAATTAATACTTTCAAAAATTTGGTTGAGCGATTTTTTAACCATTTTATCAGTTCTATAGAGCCTTCCTAACAACACACCGTCGACCTGATCCGTCACTTATATAAAAAATAAAATTCCATACACGAAAAGTACGCAAGTAAATCACAGCACTCAACGAATTTAGAAATTTTTCTAAAAACCAAAAATTGTAAGCCAACACAATGCCTCAAAAGTGCAGTAAAAAAAAAGAAAAAAATTGACGCCTGTAACTTCACATCCTTTTTTTCACCAATTGCCATTTTGAGTGTTTATAACTAACATTTCATGGGTCATTTTTTCTTTTGAGATTTAAAATTCGTAAAAGTTTTTAATATTTTTGCGAAAATGTCAAATAATTTTGACTAGTTAGTTATTTAATTTAAACAGTTTTTTTTTAACTGGTTATAAAACTATTGAGATACTTCTAAAGCTTCGATATT